CCTGATTTCTGTGGTGTACCTTTCGCGGCAACCTGAATTGCAGCTTTTTATTATAAAAGTTGTAGCTAGAAGTTTAACTCTGATTTTATTCTGCTTTCATCTACAACAAGAGGAAGTAGCTGATATCCTTTTCTTCCAAGATTAAGATGAAGTACCTAAGATTGCATCGCATAATCTTCCAGCCTAACAACAAAGAGTCATTTTGAAAGAAACGATATTACAAACGAAATGGGAACTGCAATGTTTCAGGGTCGAGCTGAATTTTTCCTGTCAGAGAGAACTTCTTTACCACCACGAGTCGTCATGCAGCGATTTGCTATTACTCTAGGCCAAATTTTTTTATGTGCATTTGATGTAAGAACTATCTCTTAGGTTAGTTGTAACCATGTAATCACTCTTATACTGCTTCACAATGTAAATCAAACCGCTCCGACTGGTCGAGCACGTTCGTTTTCGTTTTTCTGCCCTCCTAATTGTTGCTTTTGCCATAGAGTAGCTACTCTCAGTGATTTTGACTAGCTCTGAGCTTCAGCTTGAGCCGTACTCCAGAAGTAATCGATCCTTGGCTTCCATACACTTTACGATGACAGTAAATGAGTGCTGCGGACCTTCTTCTATGGCATGCTACATATATGTCAGGACAGTGTTAGGTTGAAGTTGGTATATCTATACATGCATAATATTTTGTGATAATGGGTTTATACTTCTTTTAGGGCAGATTACGACCGAACTGTAAGTTTTCACAGAAATCAATTTTTGTTTAATCGATCAGAATCAATCAACGTCAAAGAGGTTGAATGTATCAGTTTACGAGTGCACTGTGATATGGGAAATTATTGATAGAGAGCCCATAAAATAAGATTTTGACATGCAAGGATACTATCTAAAAAACTAGGGTTTTTTTGAAGAAAAAATCCTGGCCTTCTTTCAAACTGTTGCGTTAGCCATTTTCAGTTTTTGCATGTGTGCGACCATTCCTATCGCATTGTGTTTTTACTAAGCAGATTTGATTCATTTCAACTAGGGACAAATGATAAACCCGTTTGGACGTTGGCCACTATCGTTAATGGTAACGACTGTGAACGATGGACGATGATCGAGGTGAAAGTGAGTGAAGCATTGTGTGAGGAAATTAGTGCACTTTACGATTTCTCGGGATTATTCCGACCTTCTCGTACACTCTTTCATGGCAATTTCTGTCATAGAGATTTCGTTTCCATTCCCGTCTTTAATAGATGTTGCTTTGACATAATAAAGCCATTAAATAACTATATGTCGCTATTTTATGCCCATTGAGTGCAAACTTATAATTCCTTTGTAAAATACATTCTATTTCAACAAAATTATTGAGAAGAGTGTGGTAAGTGACAGACAGCATCCTACTTCTATTTGCGTATAGCTTAGCTCCCGTGCTCTTTGAATAAATGTTACACACGCAGTAACTGTAACTTCTTATAGGAGAAATTTACCCAAATTCAAGCTTTTCTAAAGCATAAGGACACGAAGCTGAGAATTCGAAAGTGTAGGACCTCCTCACTTAGTTTGATGTTTACAGAATGCTTCATCAGGAAAACAAACTGGCATTAGGCTCACCCACTAACAATTGATAGAATCAAAGATATGCGAAGAAATCATCCAAATCATATTTCAGACATCTTAGTCCAGTATTCAGAACTTTATTTTTAAAGTATAAGAGAATATTAATTTCAAACTTTCTTTTCGAATTAGTTGTCTCCAGACCAAAATTCCAGAAGCAAAGAAAAGCAGTTTTTTTCTTTGAGAATCCTCCTTTTTCTCTGGTTTCCTATCATTAGTATAGTTATTTTCGAGTAAAAGTATCTTAATCTGGTGTGAGGAGTTCCTGAAAAGGCGCGATT